AGGCACCCCCAGACGCTTGTTTAAATCATGGAGACTACCTTGTTGAAATCGTAATAGTTAACATGTTGTTTTCCAGAGCCTTCTTTTTTGGTCCTGGGTCGCAGAAGATTAATACAAAGCATTAGTGGAGATTAGCTTTTCTGCTCTCCTTTAGTTACTGAAAGGTGAGATTTTCTGTGTCGTTCAGAATCTGACACTGCCCAATATTTACTACAAAGGAAGGTTTGGGCAATTCTCAGGGCTTTCATTTTGCGTGTCCAATTAAAATTACATGGAGGCAGACTTCTCTGGCTCTTAAAACCTTTTGGCTTTAAGCTGGTAGTGACAAGGACTATCATCACGTCGATTCTAATTATATATTCAGGTAAAGTCAAGAACTAGATAGTTCTTCCTTTCTTATTTCTTCATCTTTGGCTTCATGGTGATTCTGGTGTTACCTACCCCAACATTTTCATATGCTCCACTTGTCTTTCCAATGCCCTGTAGGCAATGTGCTACATATCACACCATCATTCAATAATCCCCCAAAAGTATCCACTATCCTCTGCCACTCGACATTAACAATATCAAGCAATCTCAGACCTGCTACCAGAGCCCAAATGAAGATTTCTTGACCCTCAAGTTAATTGTCATTTTTCTCCCACAACCTTAATAGATGAATTAAAATCACCACCCTGTGTTAAACACACCTTTCTTCCCTATTTCTCTTTAGCATCATTAGCTTTAAACTCTTCCAGGCTGGGATCATTGGAGCTGATCTGATAGGTTAACTTAGGTGAGGTGGATGCAGGGCTGGAGTAGATTTCCCTCATCTCAACTATTACTACCAAATGTGCTAATGAACCCCTTGTACATCGTTTCCTGCTTCTCTATTCCAATTTCCTGCTTCTCTATTCCCTCTCACCCTCTCTTCTTTTTAAAAACAATCATACAAATCATTTGACCTGATAAAATGTGTATTTCCTTTGTTCTGGTTACCATTTTCACTCCAGTGCATTAGCTTACTTGTGAAAAGTTTAAACTTTCTTTTCATTGGTAAAGCTCATTACCGGTAGCTAGGGGAAACAATCTGCTTTGGCATTCTGTGTATTTCCTTGTTCTCCCACTAAAAGAATCCGATGGTAAACCATATACATGTGAGGTGTTTCCCCTCATTACAGTGTCTAAAATAGCATTTAAAATAGTTTTAGAAAAAAATACTTTTAGGGAAGTACAAATCATAAAACCTTAACATTTTTAATGCTTCCACAGAGATAATCCATCTCACTGTTAGTGAAAGGAATAAATAATTTTCCTTCTCACTATAAATTTGCTGTATTACAGACCTCACATACTCCAAAAGGGGGTATTTAATTTGATATTAAATACCAAAAGGGGATATTTAACTTGAGTCCTTTATGAATCAAATACTGAACACTGCGACAAGTTGTTGATTAACAGTCATGCCAAACAACATGTCCATTAAGCAATTTGTAAAATTTTTTAATGTTTATTTACTTTTGAGAGAGAGAGAGAGAGAGAGACCGAGATGGAGCTTGAGCTGGGGAGGGGTAAAGAGATGGAGACACAGAATCCGAAGCAGGATCCAGGCTCTGAGCTGCCAGCACAGAGCCCTACGCGGTGCTGGAACTCATGAGCCGTGAGTTCATGACCTGAGCTGAAGTCAGCCACTGAACTGACTGAGCCATCCAGGTGCCCCATGCAATTTCTAAAATTAATAGTGCTTAATTGTTTAGTCTGAGAATCCAAGAAAACAGGGATTCCTCAGTACTACTCAAAGATATAACCAAACATCATTACACTGAGGCCTTTGTTTTCCATGTAGGTGATTTGATAGGGCCAGGTAGAGCACACAGGTTAGTTCAGAGACCTAAGTAGGTTCCACCTTCTCCTTAAAGCCAGAATTCTAATCTCAGGACTTAAATACCATTTAGCCAGAAAACCAAAGAGAATAAGAGAAAGAGAAGGCCAATCTTCCCCGAGAGACAAGAAGGGCTTCATGTATCTGCCAGTTATATGCAAATGAATTAGTGGAAAAGAGGAGAGGCAATCATATATGCACATGACATTTTAACGTACAATGACCTTGCTTCCAATAAATGCAGTTCGATCAACTTTTCAGGTTCTAACCAAACAGGTTACCATTACTTTCTCTTAGAGAAAAACATGGACAGAAGTGGGCCATGGGCAGCGTGGAGACAAGGCGAGAGTTCCTCTGTACTCCCGACTCTCAGCATAGCAAATTTAAAAGGTAAAAAGATTATATATAATTGCACCACAGGATTATTTCACTTTAAATCATATAAAGGTCTTGTGTAATAATTGGAAGACCCTTGAAGTAGAAATTTGTTTCTATTTCTTAACTTGCCAAATTGGCTGTGTACTTTGCCTTTCTGAATCTTTTTTACGTACAATAAGAAGTGTTCACTGAGATGATCTCTAAGTTCCCTTCAAGATCAAAGATTCTAGGGGCACCTGGGTGGCTCAGCTGGCTAAGCAACCAACTTTGGCTCAGGTCATGATCTCACGGTTTGTGAGTTCAAGCCCCGAGTCAGGCTCTGTGCTGATAGCTCAGAGCCTGGAGCCTGTTTCAGATTCTGTGTCTTCCTCTCTCTCTGACCCTCCCCCGTTCATGCTCTGTCTCTGTCTCAAAAATAAATAAACGTTAAAAAAAAACTCATTAAAAAAAAGATCAAAGATTCTACGATTTTATTATTATAGTAGATGGTCAAATTTCATTACCAAATTGATTGTTGGTTGCTTTTACAGAGCAGGGATGATGGCTCAACCTTCACATGTCTAATTTTCTACAATTTAGTACTTTTTAAAAAATATGTTGATTTAAGTGTGGAAAAGTGTGTATTGCTGCTTCAATTTGTGTTAACAAGGGGCTGCAGGGACTATACAAATATCACTTGCGTAAAATATTCCTGGAGGTATAAACAAAAAACTGGCTGCTTTTGAGAAAAGGGGTTGAGGGATTAGGAGTTGTGGGTAGGTCGGGGTAAGTCATTTCCTAATGGAAGTTGTCCTTTGAACTTATATTCTACTCTCCCCTTGTCCTTTCTCCTCCGGCCACACTGGCCTTCTTGCTATTCCTCAAATGTATGAAGTATGCTCCTGGCTCAGGGCCTTTGCACTTGCATTTCTAGTGCCTGGAATATTCCTCCTACAGAAACTCAGGTTTAGGACAAAGTTCAAATTCCTTTTCTCAACATACAGAGCTCTCCTTTTTTGCCATGCATTAGCAATGGGCAAGTCATTAAACGTAAATCCTGTTTCCTCTTCTATAAAGTAGGACTATTAATAATCTCTTCGCAAGATTAAGATTACACGTAGGTGAAAGCACTTTTATAACCTTGGTGCTCTGAAAGTTACCAAAAGTACGCTGTTTCTTCCGGGCTTGGAGTCTAGGGGTAATACAGTTTCAATCAGCGGTAATGACCTAGGTTTAAGACGAGAAAAACCTCCAGAGCTGGCTGCACTTTGAGACCAACCTTTGGCGCCGGGTTAGCCTCCAGGTAGCCGTTGCCAGGGAAACCGTTGGGAGTCCGGAGAACAAGAGCACGCGCGCCGGCTATTCAGCGCTACCTCCTTTTAGCGTTAGCAATTGGTGGAGCTCGGGCCAATCGTAGTGGCCGGAGGGGCGGGGGCGGGCAGGGTCCCGGGAAAGGCGTTCTCGCGGCCTCGCTCCCCCACTTCCGGGTCGCGGTGCTTGCAGGGAGCGCTCCGCGGGTAGCGTCGTTTCCGTTGCCGGCTGTTTGCAGTTGGGGAAACCGAGGCAGCTCCAGCTTTCCCCCTAGTTCTTCCGCTCTTGTGAGGTGGCTGCTGTTTCTTTTCCTCTCGCCCCGTGCTGCTTCGGTGCGGCTGCGCTGAGGGCGCGCGGGCTAGTTGAGACCCTCGGTGTCCTAACGAAAACCGTGGGGCGTCCAGGCCGGCGGGGCTTTGTGCGAGCCGTACCTTCCCACTCGCGGCCAGCGTGCGACCTGGGCTCGGCCAGGCTCTGGAAGGGGGGGCTCCGCGCAGCCACTCCCCGAGGTCTGGGGAGCTCAGGCGCCTCGAAGCTTGTGTTCCCTGCGCTTGGCAGTTCTTGTTTCTTTTGTCCTATTGAGCGCGGACTGGATAGAGTCATTTTAGAGTAACAGTTCAGCCGATCTCTGATGATGGGCGCTGCTTCTGCACTGGCCTGCGGGGATTTCAAATTTGACAGCCCCCTCAGGCAGTAGTCTAGAGATGATGTATCTAGGGAATGTTGAAGACAGGAAGGAGATAAGCGTTTTTATTTTAAAGTAACTCCTCACTTGTATTCCCCCCACCCCCGCTTCATTTAGAAGCTCAAGATTTTTCTAATGGCATAAAGATTCATTTCTGTTGAGGGTGTAGTTTGTTACTTTTCTTAGTGTTTCTGCCCTTCTCCTGTTGAATGGAAAATCAACAATTATTAGCCAGGGTGCGATCTACTTTGTGTTCAACTTATATACTTCAATTTGTAAGCCATATGTAGTGGGGTTTTTTTTGTTTTTTTTTTTTTGCTGGAATCTCCTTGACTGTGGGACAGATGTAACTGGAATTATACATAGGGGTTAAAAGAACTCTTCCTTTTACAAACGATTCTGATATAAGGCATATTTGATATAATTGTTGCTAAGTTGGGCCCCTTTTGTTCTTGAACTGTTGAGCCCCATTTTCAAAGATGAGAACATAGGGAACTGAGAACTTGAATCTAAGTAAGTAGTTTGATTTTTACAGTTAATTCCTAAAAAGTGATAAATTGGCCATTTGACCATCCGTCATTTAATTGATCTAAATGGTATTTATTACTTCTGTCTTTGTTTTCTTACATGCCTAAATAACTGCTACAAAGTAGACCCAGTGGAAAAGCATGATAGGTATAACTTGGGATTTGATGAGATGGATAAACTGTAATTTTTTTTTTTCCATTTTAAAATCTAATTCAAGGTCATTAAATCTGTCATATATTTCCTTCTCCAGGAAAAAAAATGTTTATTTCTTTGTGGGAGTTCTTCTATGGGCACTTTTTTCGATTTTGGATGAAATGGCTCTTACGGCAGATGACCGGAAAGTGTGAATTGCAGCGAATTTTTGATACCTATGTAGGTGCACAAAGGACACACAGGATAGGTAATGTTATTTGAAAAAGGGTGATTAAGTAACTCTGAGTGAATATTTTGTCTCAGTATTCATAGTGGCAGTTGCACTCATTGTGTATCCTGATCAAGAAACTTAGTTTTTAATCTTTGAAATCTAGCTTTGAATATCTGCTCTAAAACTATATTATGATTTTATAGGAAAAGAAACATTATTATTTAATTCCACATCTGTGCAAAGAATGATCTTGGCTCGTGAAATTCATCAGTTATACCTTAGATTATAGTTGCAACCTATTTTCCAGAGAAAAATTTCTGTATTTCTATGCCCTTTGAAATTTTTACTTAACTGGTGGGGAAGACTGGGTGTCTGAATCTGGATCCACTTTTATATTCATCATCTTTCATCAGTCTTTTAGTGTCTTATGTAATTCATGAAAGAACAGTAACAGGTATCTAGTGATCCCTGGTAGAGATTATTGCACTCAAAGTCTGCACTGTCCAGTGTTGTAGCCAGCAGCCACGTGTGGTTATTGAGCACTTAAAATGTGATTAGTCTGAATTAAGATGTGCAGAAATATATAATATACACTGGGTTTCAAAGACTTTACATGAAAAAGGAATGTAGAAAAACCTCATTAATATATGTTGAAATGATAATGTTTTGGATATATTGGGTTAAAATATATAAAATTGTGTGTGTTTTATTCTAATGTGGCTACTAGAAAATTTTTAAAGTACACATGTGGCTCACATTTTGCCTTGCATTATATTTCTGTTGAACAGTGGTGCTCTGTTACCTTCTAAAATTCATCAGCTTTCAGTGCTTAATTGAAATTATTGCTTTAAATTAGAACACAGAGGAGTGAGAAATTTGGTTGAGGTCATCACTCTTTGACCAGAGTAAGGGAGATCAGGAATTGGTTACAGTTCATGTTCACTGTGTTAAAGGAAAAATCATGACTTAACCAAATCCTCCTTTGTGTTGAACAGCGTGCTTCAAGGAAGAAATTCACCCCTGTGAGATCTGGGGGGTGGGTGTTGGTATCCAAGGCAACTTGGGAAGAATGAGAGATATAAGGAGGGAGTGAGTAAGCCTCAGGGCAGCTGGATGATTGAAGTTTAATTACTTCCCTAGTTTTTTCACAATTTTGTGGCTGACTTCAATTACTGCCTGCTCTTTTGATTTGCCCTTTTGGCTGCTCTATGAAGAACAAAGTACTTCTTGATGAGAAATCTTAACAGTAGTGGTTTATGTTCTGTAGTATGGGGGAAGAACATGTTAAGGCATTAATTTGTAGCAAAACTATTTGTCTTGAATTTTTCAAATTGCTGAGAATAAAGAGACTGTTAGTACATGTACCAGAAAAAAAATGTTAAATAGTCTAGTAAAAATGTTCTGGTCATTCTTAAAATAAAAGACAAGAATGGAAAAGCTATTTTTTTATTTGTCTGTTAGAAGATAGTTAGCCAAATAATCTCTTATTTTTGCCCCTTCGTTGTTGTGTGATTCACTTGCTAGTTCCTCAAATCTAAATGCCTACTCCGTAAGGCTAACAAATGAAAAAAAAATGTAGTAGAGAGCACTTTCCTTATATGGTATTTAGATGAGTTCCTGGGACCCAAGCTATTGTGAGGCAGCCATGAATGAATTGCAGTGGTTAGTAGACACTTGGCAGTTTGCATAGAAACAGATGACCCTGGGGAAATTAGGACAGTCCCACCTCTTTGGCTCTGGTGTGTTGTGTTGGGTTGAGAGTCTTGGAATCGTATCTAGTTATCTATAAGGATAATTTTTTAAAATTTTTCCTGTGTTATTCATGTGGAAATTACATCTTCTAAACTATTAACTTATTGCTGGCTTGATATTTATACTATTTTTTATAAAGTGATTCACAAACAGCATTTAAGTGGTAACATTCTTTTTTTTTTTTTTCTTTATTTCAGAAAATTCCTTGACCTACTCCAAGAATAAGGTAGGATTATCTCAAGCTGGTAATTTTAGAAAACTTTTTCTTTAAAATAATACCTCAGTTTTTGAATTAATTATTTTTATATGTTCTACAAGTCTTTGCTGTAAAGAGTATTGCATGAAATTTCCCACTTTTTTAAAAGTAATGTCTCACAGTTGTGAGATCGAGCCCCCTGTGGGGCTCCTCCTTGACCTGGACCCTACTTAAGATTCTCTCTCTCCCTCTCCCTCTGCCCCTCCCTTGCTCTCATACTCTCTCTTTCTTTCAAAAAGAGAGGTAATATTTTATTTTTGAAACATTTTCTTTATGTTAGTGTGCTACTTGTGCACAAAGAAGGTATTTGAATAATTTGTCTTTATCTGAGGTTTTGCTTGTTTATTTTGCCTCAAAACTTGATAGCCTTTGAAAAAGCAAGTTCTCAAGAGAAAAACCTCATAAACTGTGTTTTTGGGATAGATTCTTACGTGAGAGATAAAGCAAACGATTTTGGATAGTTATAAAAAACTGTATCATGTGTCTTTTGATCTAAAATAAGTCATACCTCATGCTATTCATTAGTTAGCTTCTGCTGTGTAACAAACTTATAAAATCTCAGGGGCATATATAATAATACATTGTTTATTTCTTGCTCATGGTCTGTGGGCCAACTGGAGAGGCTCTTCAAGTTGGTCCCAAGTTCAGATCTGTTACAATTGTGTCATTATGAAACCCAGGTTGAAAATGCAGTAGATACCTGGAGAATGTTCTTCTTGCAGTAGGTCATTATTTGTCCAACCACACAGACATGTCTGTCATGTCTATTAACATCTCATTTGCTAAAGTAAGTTACATAGCCAAACCCAAATCAAGGAGTAGAGAAATACACTATGCTCGCTATAAAGCCATGGTAAGCATGTGAGTATATAATTTAATTATAGAGGAGTAAAAAATTGGGACCAGTAATTCAATCTACTGCATGCTGTTCTCTTCTATAGTAGTTCACAGTTTTTTATATATATATATATACATATATATATATATATATACACACACACATATATATATATACATATACGTGTATATGTATGTATATGTATTACTCGGTGTGACAAAGGTAGAGTATGGGTCATTTAGATCATTGTTTGAAATCCCGTAGGAGATCACAGCCAGCATTAACAACAAAAGGAATAGAATAGAATAGAATTAGAAAACATTGGTCATAATAAGGTTAAATACTGTTTTATGAAATTTTAATATTCATTATCTGTGTGTGTGCATCTGTTTATATTTTAGATATCCATGGGTATGTTTGTATTTGGTCATGATGTACAATGTGGATAAAAAAGAGTCAAAAACTGTCGACTTACTGTTGTCTAGTGATATTGATATGAGTTACTAATTCATGCCAGAGAGTAAATGGACATTGTTGAATATTGCAAGCATATCAGTTATGTTCGGGAAAGTGACCTATAAAATAAGTGTTTTACTGATTAGTTACCATCTTTTTCTATTAATGGTCAAGATAAGAAAAGCTCGTGTACATGAATATATATTGGGGAACAAGAGTCTGGAGTCCTACTCTTTTATTCCAAATCCTAGAGAGATTAATATTCTTCATCTTTTTTAATGAGAATGTAAGGATCTAAAAAGTTAATAAGTTGTTGGTTCTAAAAATTTATTTTTACCTTATACACCCATATGGTTCCTTCCATTAATTGAAACTTAGGATACAATTTCACAAAGTAACTATCAAAAATTGTGGAAGAACCTCAAGAGGAATTCTGAAACTAGCTGCTCAGTGTCACCGTGTGTAACTATTGTTACTATAACTGTAACAACAGTTTTGGTCACAGATTTTACTAATGGGATTTTATGTGTAGTGAAATTATGCCAAATTTATGTGGGACCATACATAAGATTTTACTTTTTAAGAACTCTAGTGCCTTGGCCGAATCTTTGACCAAAGATTTGAGCAGTGCCATATATTCAACATTCCACCAGGGTCTTTGCAATATACAAAAGAAATAAAAACCAGTGTTGAATATACTTATGAATAGGCAGTTTGTGAAAGTATAGATAAATAGAGGCTGAAGTGTTTGGGAACTTTAAGGTAGGGGTAATGAGTTAAAGAGCAGTACAATGTTATTTTTTTATCTGATATACTGACTCTGAAAAGTCCTTTTGAAAAATAAACATTTGTATTGTTACAGTTTTATTATTAAAAAGTATAGATTGCTAATAGTTTTATGTAGGGCATACTAAAAAAAAAAGGATGGGTGGTGAACAAACGTAGTTACTGAATTATATATCACAGAAGCTTTGTTTTCTTGAAGTTTGAAATCTAAAATAAACTTGTCAATAAACAAATGGAGGAAGCCTCATCAATTTAAACATACCATTTCTGGTATGTATTGCATCTCACATATTTCCAATTTCTTTGTAGAGTAAAATCAAATTCTGATTTTGTGATATTTCTACTAACCTGATCTACTTTTTTATGTACATGAGAAAAGTCTGGGTTCAAATCCTGATTTTATCACTTGCTAGTTGTTTGACTTTTGTGTAAGTTACTTATTTTCTCATTGTAAAAGGAGGTGTGAATGCCCAAGTGATTGTTTTAGGTTAGGAAATATTAATATGAAAGCAGTCTAAGAGAATGCTTAGTACACGATAAGTATCCAACAAATAGTAATTATTGGTAATATTAATGGGATTAAACCAATATACACTACAAGATTTTGAGAACTTTAAAATATTCATGAAAGCTTCTTAGGTATTTAAATTCTCAACATTACTGATGATTGCTGTGGATAAAAGTGATTTTAATCTAAGGCCAGTTTCCTAAAGCAGTGATAGAATGGTCCTGTTGGGTTGTGAACTATTTCATAGTGGAAATTCTTTTCTTGACTGTTAAAAATTGAGTCTCATTTGCTGGTATTTTAGGCTAAGGACTACTTATTAATTATATATTAAGATTTATTAAACTTTGGGATTTATAAATGAAAATGGAAACTTTATTAGAATTTGAGGAATCTAATTCAGTATTTTGCTAAGAAGCATGGCTGCTGTGGAATGTATGGTAATGTTACAAAACTTCACTGTACTAATGCATATACAAGTATTTGAAATATTTGAAATTTAGGAAAAGAACACTTTGTCAATCTAATAGTGTTTTTAACTGGCTGCATTTGTTTCAATTGCAGCTGCTGTCTTAGCTTTTAAATAATAATAACATTCTAGCTGTGGAATAATAAATTAGTTTTATGGCATCAGTTTAGTCGCCTGTGGGTCATTGTTATAGTGATGTGTATTTGCATATTTTTTGGTCTCTAATTTTGCAAAAGCTAGACTTTAAGTACCCAACCTTTAAGTATATAACTACATAGGCATGGTGTTTCAAAAACGAAATGTTCACACACTGTGTATACAAACACAAATGTATGTATAATCTCCCCAAATTTGCTTGCATAGTGAAACTTACTGTTGATATTTGCTGCCTATGAATATGTGTTAATCATGTAATTTGTAATCTATCAAGGCAGGTATAATAAAAAAGACTTTATTACTTTAATGTTCATTTAATGTTTTATAATAAAATCATATGTATAAGCATATATATCTTTTCTTACAAAATACATAAGTGATTCATATTTGTTGTTCTTATACTGTCACCTGCTTTTTCTTTAGTAAAAAGTAAATGATATTTGGAAAATAGTCTTTGGGTGCTTACATGGTTTGAGGTTAAAAAAGAAAATTTTAGAATTGCTGACCTCAGAAATTCTCTGAGTACTATATATTCCAGTATGGAATATACCTTCAAAATCGTGGGGTACATAAGAACTAGAAAACATTGTAATGTTTTATATTTATGCTCCATCCAGGCTGCTATTTTGTTTTTGATGGGGAAGCAGACCTACCAAAAAGGTAGAGAATAAGCCAGGGATTGACAGATGGATAAAAAAGTAAGACCCAATTAACTGAATATTGTTTCAAGAAATATACTCTAAACATAAAGACACAAATAGAAAACAAAAGGATACACCATGCAAACAATAAGCATAAAAAAGCTGTTGTGTCTTTGTTTCAGAAAATATAAACTTGGAATATTACCAGTGACTAAATACTTTTTTGTATTGATAAAAGGGTTAATTTATCAAGAAATACAACATATTAAGTGTATGCACTTATTAACAAAGCTGCCAAATACTTGAAGAAAAATTGACTCAAAGGGAGAAGTAGATGAATCAACAATTGTAGCTGGAAATACCTCTCAATACTTGATGGTACAAAAAGACAAAAAAAAAATCAGAAGGGATATTTACCATTTGAACAATACTTTTAATCATCTTGATCTAAATGACATTTATAGTCAACAAATGCAAATGCAAAATGCACATTCTCAAGTACACATGGAATATTTATATAGACACATCAATATGTGAGTCTTTAAGTCTCAATAAGTTTCAAAGGTTTGAACTTATACAGAGTATGTTTTCTGTCTCCCATAGTACTAACTTAGAAGTAAGAAAAGTATGACATCTAGAAAATTCCCAAGTATCTGGAAGATAACCCATGAAGTAGAAAAGAACTCACAAGGGAAATTAAAAAAAAAGAAACAAAACTGAACTCAGTGATAATGAAAACATAACATATCAAAATGTAGAGTGCACCTAAACAGCTTTTAAAGGCCTTAAATCAATGATCTGTGCTTATGCCTTAAACCAGAAGAGAGCAAATTAAACCCAAAGTAAGGAAAAGAAAGGATATAATTAAAAGATAAAAAATTAATAAAATGGTAAACAGACAAAAGTAGGAAATAACAAACTCAAAAACTGATTCTTTGAAAAGATTTGATTCTTAGTAATATTAATAATCCTCTAGGAACATTGATCAAGAAAGAGAGGAAACCCAAATTACCAATATCAGGAATGATAGAGGAGACATCAAACTACAGTCATTAAAAGTATAAGGGGATGCTATGAATTTATCCCAATAAATTCTGTAGCTTAGATGAAAGGGACAAAGTCCTTGAAAAACACAATTTATCAAAACTAACACAAAAAGAAATTTAAAAATATAAATAGCCATATACTTAACAAATGGAATTTATAATCTAAAAGTATTGCACTAAAAACTCTCCTTCACTAGTGAACTCTTATTAAACATTTAAGAAGAAATAATACCACTATTACATAAACTCCTAGAAAATCAAGTAGGAAGAAACATGTTTTGTGAAGCCAGTATGACCCTGATACTAAAACCAGACAAGGGCAGTATACTAAATAAAAATTACAAATCAATATCCTTCATGAATACAGATGTAGAAATTCTTCATTAGCAAATTCATCCTGGTAATGCATAAAAAGGATATTACATCATGATTGAGTTTTCAAAATCCATGAATATAATTCACCACATTAACAAAATAAATGAGAAAAATAAGATCATTTCAATATATACTAAACTATTTTGACAGAACTCAATACCCATTTTTGATTAGAAAGCTAAACTAACTAGGAATAGGAGATTTCTTCATCCTAATAAAGGCCATCTGTGAAAAACATGCAACTAACATGATACATAGTACTGGAATATTGAATGCTCCCACATCAAATGGGGAAAAAGCCCAGGATAGTTACTCTCTGATTTTATTCAGTATTGTGGAGGAGGTCCTAGGTAGTCCAGTAAGGAAAAGAAATCTAAAACATATGATAAAAGAGAAAGAAAGAAAACTGTCATTATTAACAGGTGGAAGAGTTTGTGAGTGCAAAGAACCCTAAGAAATCTACAAAAACTACTAGCATTATTAATAAATGAATTTAGCAATGTCTCAGGACACTGTGTTTCTATAAGTTAGCAACAAACTTTTGGAAAACAAAACAATACTACTTACAGTAGCATTTAGAAACAAAGTACTCAATGATAAATTTAATGAAAACTACACAAGACTGCACTAAAACTCGTTTTCCTAAGACGTTAAAAGCACAAAGATTACTCTAATCATCAATTGGAAAACTCAATATTGTTAAGATGTTAATTCCCAAATTGACCTGTGGATTCAGTGCGATTCCAGTCAAAATCCCAACAAGCTATTTTTGAAGAAAGTGACAACTCATTCTAAAGTTTATACAGCAATGTAAAGTTCCTAGTACACCCCAAGTAATCTAAAAAAACAAAGAGGACTTAAGCTACCTGAATGGAAAACTTTCTAGGCAAATGGATCAATATAACAGATGAGAAACCAGAAATAGACCACATGTAATTTTTTCTTAGAGGGAAAGAGTATGTGTATGTGCACATGCATAGGAGCAGGGGAAGGACAGAGGGAGAGGGAGAGGCAGAGAGAATCCCAAGCAGGCTCCATGCCCAGTGTGGAGCCTGTCACCAGGCTCTGTCTCCCAATGGTGAGATCATGACCTCAGACCAAATCAAGAGTTGGTTGCTTAACCAGCAAACACCCAAGTGCCCCATAGACCACATGTCATTTTTAACAAGGATTCCAGAGCAATTCAGTGAGAACAGGAAAGTGCAACAAATAGTGCTAGAACAATTGGATATCCAAATTGAGGAAAGTCGGGACTCAACTCCTATTTCCCCTACATGTGAAAATTAATTTGATACATGCTTTACACCTGTGTTTAAAATTTTAAAGCTTCTCAAAATATTGGAGAATATCTACCACCATGGGTTAAGCAAAGATTTCTGTTAAAGAAGATAGAGTGCTACCATTTAAGAAAAAGTTGAAAAATTAGGCTTTATCAAAATAAAAACTGCTTATCAAAGACGTCTTTTAAAAATGAATTGGCAAAAAAAAAAAAATTGGTAGGCAAGCAGCATACTGAGAAGATATTTGGTTAGCACATATATTTGGTTAGAGACTTGTATCTAGTAAAGTACTTTGAGATCTCTAATAAAAAGACAACACAATTTTAAAAAGGGGAAAAGCCTTGAATGGTCACTTCACAAAGGAAAGAGATGCATATGCGTGTATACACACATATACATGTATGTAAATATATATATATATATATATATATATATAT